ACCTATGGATACACCTAGACACACACGTAAGTGTGTGTGTCTGTGCACGGTGTGTGTGCGTATATCATTATTCTCTTTTGATATTGTTGATGCTTGCTTGTATTGAATTCATTGCGTTGCCATTGGTTACTGTTTATTATTATTACTACAATGGATGCCATAATACTCTACTTTTAGTTCAATATTCAATTTCTTTTTATTATTTTTTTTTAACTTTGTATGATAATTAATAACTCAATGAAAAAAGTTTGTAAAATAATGCGCATTTTGAAAAGAGAGAGAGAGGAAATATATAAATTTATATATATATTTTTCAAAATATCACCCTCTTTGAATACTACGGCTCTACATTACCTAAAATCATAATCATAATCCTAATCGGCATACCTGTAATCAATCTGTTTTGTATATTCGCCTATTTAATTTTTTCTACTGTTGTTGTTGATGTTGTTATAAAACTAAAGATCATTCAAATAGGGTTGTTGGTTGATGAAGAAACAGTTTTTTGCATGATGATTGGCAATTCATATTGAGAATAATGATCATAATAATGATAGATTATTTGATAGAGAAGAAAATATTGATTTTTCACTCTCTCTCTCTCTCTCTCTCTCTCGTTCTCTGCTCTCCTCTCTTCATGCATTAGTTGTATTGATCTGCTTATTTAACCCAGCTAGTTTGTATTCTCTTTATTTCTTCTTCTGTGTATTCTCCTCTTTGATTGATGTTAGTCAGTGAGTATTTTGTATGTGATGGTTATATTTCATTTCGATCTTAGCTTATGATCCGAATGACAGACTGATTGTAGTTTTCACAGTATGAGAGTTGTGGTGAAGATTGTTGAGTTTCATAGAAATCATGAATTGATCGAAAAGCTAGACCACCATAGTCAGTCAGTCAGTCAGTCAGATGCAACGTAGAACTTCGTAGGTAAGTAGATCAGTTTGTGTCGCCATACCACATCAGCACAAAGATATAATTGTAAATTCAAATCCAATAGTAGTAGAGGTAGTAAAGCTATTAGAAGTAATCGGAGAGGTTAGGATTAGAAGATATTATTCAAGAAGTATGATTCAGTGAGGTAAGTTTAGAAAGTCAAAACCGGAGGGCTTGAAGAATCCAGAAGATTAGGATTTGAGAGAACACAAAGAATAAATGCACCGGCGTCATTGCGAACGATTTTGAGCCATGTCATTCAAGGTCTCTAACCATCGATTATTATCATCTCACGGACCCCAACCAGATAGTCGACAACTACTGACATGGCTCAGTCCACTTGTCAATGACTTCATGGATTTCTGCCATGTTTTGGTTTGGCCGCCCCTAGCTTTCTTCCAACCTATTCCTACACTACAAAACAAAGCTCGACGAGGGAGTCGCTGGTTAGGCATACGCAACACGTGTCCCAACCACCTCAACTGATGAAGTTTCACCACTTCATCGATTGATTTGCCATTCTTACCTAACACCCGATTCCTAATAACAGCGTTGCTCAATCGGCTGTCCCAGGATATACGAGCAATGCTTCGAAGAAACGTATGATCGAAAACCAATAACCTACGAATATCTTCTGCTCTCACTGGCTATGCTTCACAGCCATAAAGTAAGACGGAGCGAACTACTGCGCAGTACACTCGTCCTTTAATCAGCAAACGGATATCTCGCCTACGCCGTAAGTGAGGTACAATAGGTTGTTGCTGATGGTTTGTGACCAATGGGTCCGAAGTATTTTACATAGACAACTGTTAATAAACACTTGTATCTTGTGGATGATAGCTCTCGTAGTTCTCCAAGTTTTCGCTCCATACAGAAGAGCTCTGCTGACATTTCTATTGAAAATTGTGACTTTTGTATTGGTCGATAGCTGTTTCGAATTTCAGATGTTCTTCAATTGTAGAAATGCCTTCTTGTCTTTATATCGGCATCAGTTCAACCTTGTTTATCATTGATGTTACCCAGGTATGCAATGGTTTCTCCGTTAAGTGTGATTTGGTTGGTGTATGTTGAGTTGCATCGGAGGATCTCAATTTGTCATTTGTGTTATATTAAGACCTACTGCTATAGTATTATTATTTTCTGTGAAAATATGTTTAGTTGGCCCAGAATCTGACTTCGATTTCAAGGAACAATCGAATATCATGTGAAATAAATCTTTGATCTAATTTCCATAAATGATTCTTAGGCGAACCTCGTTTGTACGATGGCGGTACTGAGAAGCTGTATACAGATTGACTTGGATAAGTTTATTTCATACAATCATTCACACAGACAGACATGAAGATAAAAAGCGGGAAAACGATGCGAACTATAGCGAAGTGTAGATGACGAATGAGCCAACTCAATGTAATGTGACATGATTAAGTATTTAAAGTCAGACAAAATAAGCTAGACAGATCACATAAGCGAAGTTATCAAATGCACATAAACACACTCACACATAAAAAAACAACAAGGACTTTAAACGAATTATTGATAAGGTGAAAACACAAGTTAATAATTCGATAAGAATGTCTGCGTGTTGAGATAATCCATCTAGACCTCTACATATCAGTCATTACATACTACATGTATATATATTGACATGACATTAGTCACCGCTCATTATTGATCGATAAGAATTGCAGTCCTACAGATGATTGTTGATAATATCTTAGACTGAGAAACGATGATAACTTAAGTTAGAATACCTGTATGTAGGTACTCTTAGAGTTGACAAACACTAACCATGTTGAGACGTAGGTTGATCAGAGTTTCTAGCCAACTAATTTCAATCACTTAACATGAATATACTTATGCTGAATAATGGTTTTACTTATCAAAACATTTTATTCGGTTGTTTGTTTGTTTGTACCCTCATGCACACACACATACACATAATACATATTTCTCTTATTATCTATCAAATTCATTTTTACACATTTGAAATCATTAATCAATCATCATTGTTAGACCACCATTAGAAACCTGGAAGCACTGGACGGCCGTTTCGTCCTAGTATGGGACTCCTCAGCAGTGCGCATCCACGACTCCTGCTCCTCGCAGGATTCGAACCCGGGACCTTTGGCATTGTAGGCGAACGCCTTACCATCAGATTTGCAAATCTCTTTTTGATAAAATTTAACAAAAAAACTAAATAATGACAGTTGAGGATAAAATACTTATGGATCAATCAATATTTTCTACTTGGTTGATCTGCAATCGTTTCGATTATCACTAATCCTCCTAACTAATTATACTAATCTGGGATTTGGACTAAGAATTCCATGTCTCTCTCTCTTTATATATATATATATATATATATATATATATATATTACTCCTGTTACCCACGGCCTTCTACCAGGAGACACGCTTGCTGACTTAGAATATGCTGATGACATAGCCCTGTCCGGTGAAGACGCTGACAAAATGCATAGTCTTCTGACTACCCTAAGAAACAATGCAAGCATGTTCGGGATGCGGTTCTCCTCCTTGAAATGCAAAATGTTGCTTCATGATTGGGTTGCATCGGCACCTGAACTTGTGATAGGGAGTGAAGTAGTCGAGCATGTAGACCGCTTCACTTATCTGTGGAGTCTCATCAGTGCTGATAGCCTGGTGACTGACGAAATCTCAGCTCGGATACAGAAGGCTCGACTGGCTTTTTCCGACCTGCGTCACCTATGGCGAAGGCGAGATATCCGCTGCCTGACTAAAGGACAAGTGTACTGTGAAGCAGTTCGCTCCGTCCTACTGTACGGATGCGAGACTTGACCGTTAAGTGTAGAAGATGTTCGTAGGTTACTAGTCTTGGCAGAAATCCGTGAGGTTACTGGCAACTGGATTGAGTCATGTATGTTGGTGTCCGCAAGATGATTGTGAACGGTAGTTGAGACCTTGAATGACATGTCTGAAAGTCGTTTAAAATGTCGCAGGTGCATCCATTCTTTGTGTTCCCTCAAATTCTAACCTTCTGAATTCCCCATAATCTCTATCTTTCTATTTCTTAAGTTATTTCACTGAATTACCCAATCTTCTCCATTACTGCTAATACTTCTACTATCACTACTACTATGGGATTTGAATTGACAATTGCATCTCTGTCCTAATATGATATGGCAACGTAAACTGATGTACGTACATACGAAGTTCTACATTGTAATTGACTGACTTACTGACCTGTTACCCCCGATGGAGCATAGACCACCGACCAGTATTCTCCAACCTACTCTGTCCTGGGCTTCCCTTTCCAGTTCTGTCCAATTTTTGTTGATTCTTCTCATATCCTTCTCTATTTCTCGGCGTAATGTGTTCCTTGCCCTTCGTCTTTTCCTTTGACCTTGAGGGTTCCAAGTGAGGATTTGTCTTGTGACGCAGTTGGGTGCTGGCCACAATGTGTGTCCTATCAGCTTCTAGTGCTTCTTCTTGATTTCATCCTTCACTGGAGTCTAGTTTGTCCTCTATCACAGTAGGTTGTCTCTGATGGTGTCTCGCCAACGATATATATATAAATGTCAGTCAATTACAACACAAAACTTCATATGTACGTAAGTCAGTTCAAGTTTCCATTGCACATTAGCACAGAGATGCGATTGGCAATTGAAATTTCATATTGGTAGAGATAATAGAAGTATTAGCGGCAGTGAAGAAGATTAGTGATGGAAGATATCATTTGAGAAGTATAATCTATTGAAGTGAATTTAAAAGACGAAAGACAAAGGTGATGACGAATTCCGAAAAGATTAGGATATCTGAGAATACAAACAATGATTACACCTGTGTATGCCATTGCAAACGATTTTGAGCCATGTCATTCAAGGTCTGCCTTACCATCGATTCCTATTGTCTTGCGGACCCCAACCATATATATATATATATATATATATATATATATATATATATATATCAGTCTTATATGATAAGTTGAACTGATGATGCAATTTTGTTTTACTCTTCTTATTTCCCGCCTCATTTCAATATTCAATTTTCCTTTCTTTTATTTTTTTTCTCTGATTTCAAAAGAATGATTACAATCTTACGGCTAGTTTAATTACTCAAGGCAATCGAATGGTGTATATGCGTCATTTTCCAATGCATAAATCACGTTTAAATGAAATGTAAGTTGAAAGAAAAAAAAACGAATTGCATTTTAAGGTTTTTTTTTCTCTAAAAAAAAAAGTACTATGCATGTAAATTCTTATTTTTTTTTTAATTTTATTTTATTATTTTTGTTATTGACAAGTGTAGTTAGTTACATGTAACCAATGTTGAATATTGAACATGTCAGCAGTTATACGTTTTAATTTTTTTTAGTTGTGTTGAATGAAACCACTGTTTAGCAATAAAAGGGATCATGATTGAATTCAAAGTGTTTTTTGCTGTGTAACATGATGATATGCGTAGTGGTTATTGCATAACATGTAATATCTATCTACAAGATTCGTTTATAGCCAAGAAAACCATACCATTTTCTTAATGAAACTATCTGTTTTAACACATTTGAAATCATCAATCAATCAATCATTGTTAGACCACCATTAGTAACCTCGAAGCACTGGATCGCCGTTTCGTCCTGGTTTGGGACTCATCACATCAGCAGTGCGCATCCACGACTCCTGCATCTGACAAGATTCGAACCCATGACCTTCGGTATTGTAGGCGAACGCCTAACCATCGGACCACTGGGCTGGCATCCAACGGTGTTAATGTCTAACTCTGATTGATATATGGATTTTGCGCGACCTCACCCATTTGTCTTTGGTAGGTACTGCCTACTGCACCCGACAGGGTTGAACTCCATTGGTCACGTCTTCTCAACTAGAACTCCGAGAATTTCCTCATGAAACTGGTCACTAGTGAGCACTGTTACGATATTTTGGGGCACAGTTTTAGAGGTTTGCGTTTTTACACATTTGATGGTAAGGCGTTCGCCTACAATGCCAAAGGTCCTGGGTTCGAATCCTGCGATGAGCAGGAGTCGTGGATGCGCACTGCTGATGAGTAGTCCCATAACAGGACGAAACGGCCGTCTGTCAGTGCTTCCAGGTTTCTTCTAATGGTGCTGGTCTCACAATGATTGATTGATGGTTTCAAATGTGTAAAAACGCAAACCTCCAAAACTGTGCCCGAAAATATCTGTTTTAGTTTGCAAGATGATTCGGACTTCAAATAGTTATAAAAAATGTCGCATTGAAATCATGAATTGATCATTGTTAGATCAAATGTTGTGCACGAAAACTCAGGTGACGACATCAACATCTATAGCTGTCATTGTCTTCCTCTTAGCATGTTCCGTGTAGGTGACTGCATCACGGATCACGTTCTCTAGAAACACCTTCAGAACACCACGAGTCTCCTCGTAGATCAGTCCGTAAATGCGCTTCACACCACCACGGCAAGCAAGATGGAAGATGATAGGCTTCGTAATGCCCTAGATGTTGTCACGTAAGACCTTGCGATGTCTCTTGGCTCCACCATTCCCCAAGCTTTTGCCACCTTTTCCTCGACCTGAAATATTCTAGACTGATACACAATTAGACTTGCCAACCAACACGCGAAATCTAAAAGCACTGGACGCACGTTTCTTCCTAACATTTGACTCATCAACAGTGTGCATCATTGACACTCCAAGCGGTAATCGAACCCAGGACGTTTGGTCTAGTGTGAGGACGCTCAAATTTTTATTGGAAAGTCATTTTGAGTACTGAGAATCATTTGAAGGTAAATATGACATCAATCGATCAAGTCATCTTTCAACGGGTCCATCGTATTAGATTTGCACACTGATTGAAAGCAGTCAGTGATCAATACATTTATTATCAATGTGCAACTTATTTAGATTATGAGATGATGGATAGAATTTGTAGCTCAGGTGGAGTTTTGTTCTCTGAGTTGGATGTTTTAGTTATGGAGCCTACACGATTGTTATTCTTCTGAACAACATCATCAGAAATCTACTTTTAGCTGAAGTTTGCGCTGCTGATGTTCAGAAGAAGAACAATGGTGAAAGCTTCACAATTAAAACATCCAACACAGAGAACGAAATCCAACCTAAGCTACAAATTCTGTCCACCATCTCACAAACTATGATTGATATACACAGTATTCAAATTCCATTTATGATATCGGTTTCTTCAAGATTATTACTGTTACATTGTGCAGTGTATTCTAGGTCTGAACCGGATACACACTCTAACCGCTCTTTCAAAACTGGATAATTGAGCGTTGAAGGAAAGAGTGTAAAAGAGAAAGTATATTTAGCGACTGAATCATACATGTACAAATATACACTCGTTTTAGAAAAAGAAGTTATTTGTTCACTGCTAACCATCATGTGACCTTGTCATTTGACCACTTCTGATTGGCTAATAATGATTTCAATTACATAATTACGTGGCATTAGTTTTTTGATTATACCAAGACGTTATTTATGAGTTTCATGCAACTAATCAACTTTTGTTCACTAATATACTTTTATTCAGAACTAGCTAGTTTTATATTCTCGACTTTGTACAAGAGAAAGATTGAAGGTTAATAGTCATATTTGTGTGTTAGTGTGTCTCAACTGTACTCATTGTGAAATGATATTCCAATCTACTCACCTTGTGACGATGAATATTTAAAATTACAATTCCTTAAACTTTGTATACTGTGTTGTTGTTCATCCTGATAATCGTTACTGCATAACGCTCAATGGAGTATACAATTCAGAAGATGAAATATGAAGCGCTGGTAATGTTTACTATCATATCACAACGATCACAAAATCACAAGCAACCTAAGCAAAGGTGAAATAAGATACAAATGCTGTCAGTCAGTCAATTTGGTGTCGCGTGCTGTTACGGGTATGAGGGCGGTTGTCAATTCCCGGCTACCCACACCGTGGAAGGTTATTTCTTGAGGGACCTGAAAAGGAAGATAGATTAGTGTTGGTCTTAGAGACCTGGGAGCGTGACCACAGAGTCCAAGGGACAAATGCTTGAGGCCGGTCACGCACGGCCTTTCGATGAAAGGATTTTTGGGTATTAGCTCCGCTCTTAAAGGCCCTTAATGGGCACCCTTACCCAAGGAGACGGAAATCCGTGAGGTAGGATGAGGTATGACATTTTTATGGTCGACCTTTTCTAACCCTTCCTTCGTTCCTTGTGAGAAGGCAGCATCGCTGCAGATGCTGGTTGTCTGAGGGAAACACCTTACTGCTGTCACACCCCTCTGCAGTGAGCAGTACGACTTCGCCCTCAGACCTTGGGTAGCTGATTTTAGTCTCATCGTTCTCCAATCGACCAGCCTGGCATGGTAGGACCTGCAGGAACATATGTTCCAGCCAGTATAGCTCAATTGGGTCATGACGATAGGCAAGCCCGACCACCACGTCAAGGTAGCACCTACGGTCGGGATACAAATGCTGAGGAACGAATAAATAGAATATATATATATATATATATATATATATATATATATATATATATATATGAATGAATGAATCAGTGACCGAATTATTCATGCGACTAAACATTGAACCTTGGTACAATAAATCTGTACGCAAACTGTAACTGATGCTTAAGCATGCATGTTCATACAAGCGCAACCAATCATAAAATTACAAAAGTACAGACAAGTTATTAGTGTTGTTGTTTCAATAACGCACTATCTGTTAAAAAAAGGTTTTTAAAAAAAGCACTTGACTAAATTAAGCATAAATACACTTCAAATGTATATGAGGTGTTATTAACACACCTCTTGATATAAAAACTGAATGATTTAACAATTCAGTGAATCGGTCATTTAGCTATGTGACATACAATTTCGTACGTACGTATATCAGTTCAAGTTGCCATACCATCTTAACACACAGAGATAGAATTGTCAATTCAAACCTCATAGTAGTAGAGGTTATAGAGCAGTCTTAACAGTACTGAAAAAGATTAGGGTTTCAAGATATGATTCAAGATATATAATTCAGTGAAATAAATTTAAAAATAGAAAGATTAGAATTAGAGAGAGAACACAAAGAATGGACACATCTGTGCTATTTTTGAGCCATTTTTGAGCTATTGTCATTCAAAATCTCTTACCATCGATTACTTTCATGTTGTGGACCCTAAAAAGGTAGTCTGCACTTACTAATATGTCTCATTCCACTTGTCAGGCACTTCATGTATTGGTCTGGCCGCCCCTAGCTTTGTTCCAACTTACTCCTACATTACAACACATAGCTCGTCGAGGTAGTCGGTGATTAGACATATGTAACACATACCCAAAGCATTGTGCGTGTTACATTTGTTTTTAGAAATATAACTGAGTTGAACTCTAATTATATTCATCATCTCCAAAATATTTCACAATACATATACCAATAAAAACTGATGTAAATTCAGTTTGGATTAAAATTGTTAATAATAGTAGTAATAATAATAATAATATGACCTTCATACTGATTGCACAAGTTAGTTTCTATTTAAAGTAAGCAATTAAGCAGATAACACGTTCACATTTAAAAGATACTACGGTCTGAATTCAAATTTGAATTTTAGCCTTAGTTTTCGTTTTAACTGACAAGTTCATAGGTGGAACGAAACTCATCTTCTAGACTTCTTTGGTAACAGTCAGTCAGTCAGATGCAACGTAGAACTTCGTACGTAAGTACGTACATCAGTTCATGTCGCCGTACAACATCAGCACACAGATGTAATTGTCAATTCAAATCCCATAATAGCAGAAGAGGTAGTAAAGGTATTAGAAGTAATCGAAGAGGTGTTAGGATTAGAAGATATTATTCAAGAAGTATGATTTAGTGAGATAAGTTTAGAGAGTCGAAACTAGAGTTGTTGAAGAATCCAGAAGATTAGGATTTGAGAGAACACAAAGAATAAATGCACCGGCGCCATTGCGAACGATTTTGAGCCATGTCATTCAGGGTATCTAACCATCGATTATTATCATCTCGTGGACCCCAACCAGGTAGTCGACAATTACCGACATGGCTCAGTCCACTCGTCCAGGACTTCATGGATTTATGCCATGTTTTGGCATACATGAAGTCACTGACATGTGGACTGAGTCTTATTGGTAAGTGTTGAATACATGGTTAGGATCCGCTAGACGATAGTAACCGATGGTTAGAGGCTTTGTATGACATGACTCAAAATCGTTTGCAATGTTGCAGATGCATCCATTCTCTGACATTCTAGTCCCTTCTGAATTCCACATCACCTCTGTCTTTCTCTTTTTAAATTTGCTTCACTGAATTATACTTCTTGAATCATATCTTCGAATCCTAATCTTCTGAATAACCGCTAATACTTCTACTGTCTCTACCATTATGGAAATTTGAACTGACAATTCCGTTTCTGTATTGACGTATGTACTTACGAAGTTCTGCGTTATAACTATCTGACTGATAATATGCTCACTAGTGACCAACTTTGTGAAAGTATTCCCGGTGGTTCTAGTGGAAAACCGTGACCATTGCATTTCAATCGTGTTGGATATGAGGTAGTTAGTTACTCACTGAACACGATGGAGGGTGGTCGCACAATATTATGAATTGATTCATGTTAGACATTAACACTATAGGATGCTAGCTCAATGGTTCTAGAGATTAAGCATCCGTACGTAAGTTCAACTGACCTGGGTTCGATTTTTACTTGCGAGATTGTGGTTATGCACTCTTGATGAGTCCCAATTCAAGTCTAGACGATATTTCAGCGCTCTAACATTGATCAATAACTGATCCAGTTGAACACAAGTTTAAATACTAAAAATCAAGACAAAGCAGAATATTCTCCTTTTTTTTCATCTCAGTACAATTGAAATCATGTCATCATATGATTATTCTATATGATCAATAAAAATTCTGTTTTAAGACAACGAAGTTCTACGTTGTAACTGACTGACTGACTGACTAACTGACCATAACCTGTATCTATTCTATAGAAAAAAAATTCTCGATAATCTCACAATCTTAATTCTTTTTTATTGATGATTTTATCATTTTCTAGTTTCATCAATCTATTGAATTATTCTCGAACAACTGGTGATGATGATGATGATGATGATGCCGACGACGACGATTACATCGACTTGATGGTCGCTTATGAATATGATCAAATCGATCGAAACACAAATGTTCATAACAATAATAAGGATTGTATTCAAGGTCCTACAATACGTTTTCATGTATAACTACCATTGGTTATTCTCCTCTTCTTTCTTTCTGGACTATAGAAAATAAAAAAGCCAAAATACTCTATGGATGATGTATTTGACGATTCTCTCTATTTCTATCATGTCTGTGCAACAATACACACTACTCTCATGTAATTCATCTTAGTAGTACGTACTGGCGTGTGTGTTTGTGTGTGTGTGACGGTGCGCTTGTACATGTAATTTTGGTTTTTCATCTCAGCTGACTTCTTTTGGTCGTAGTGGAAGTAGTAGTAGTAGTACACATATACACCAGTTGACATGATTTAATTGTTCCAGTGTTGATTGTTTCTTTTTTTCTCTCTAAATGACATATGTAAGTTGAGATGAATTTATTTTGTCTAGGTAAAAATGCCACACCCTAAATGCAAAAAATGATGACATTCCTTCATTTATATTTCCTCTCTGTCTGTGTACATCTCTCTCTCTCTCTTAATGAATGATGATTGTGATAAATATTTCTATGCAAAAGTAAAATTTAAAATTCTGATTCATAATGTCTGTGGATTTGCATCAGAAATTAAACAAAAAAACAAAATATGATCCATTCGAATAGTGCGCTTGACAAAAAATGTCGACCTCGATTCATTCATTTAAACAATGAAATCAAATATTGATCATTGATCAAACAACGCAAACAACACAATGGGATCGCAACATGACTCATATAATCAGTTATGGATAATTAATCTAAATGTATTCACCATATCGTCGTCTATATTGAACACATTGAATGTTTTATGAGTATAAAGTTTTCTTGTTCTATTATTAGTAATGTACATAGTGTACTAACAGATTCTCATGCTACTTAAATGGATTGATTACTCTGACTTGACAAATCAGAATTGTACACATGTGAATCAGTGTTTGTTTGTTTGTTTCAATATTGAACACGTGTTTATTTGCACTTGGTTTTTTTCTTCAATTTTTCTGTCTTGTATTTTGTACACCTCATGTGTACACATGAGGTGTACGTACACACAACATGATGTTGTTATTTGATTGGCTTACATAAATAATCTCATGAAAATATTTTGTGTGTGTAATTTCGGCAATGAGTGATGTGAACTGTGATTAGCCGTTGAACATGGGGACAAACAAGGGATCATTGAGTCTACATACAGACGAACTACTGAACATGTGATTTTTTTCTCTTCTGTTAATGCATTGTGTATGGACGATTGTAGTTGTATGGAATAAAATATTGTTTTCTGTTTTCACATACTCTCTAGTTCTATATTTTAATTATGAATCGGGTATCTGATTTTTAACCTGGTCTAGTCTCTCTATTGTAGTAAAAACTCGGTCACCTAGAACAGCAGTTACACATTATCACAGGTATCGTAGGTATATTGCGGAGAAAAAAGTATTCTCAGTACTCCACTATATTATATACCTGTGATGGTTTTTTAATTTCTGTTAAATACATTCTATTCTAATATTATGTCAGGCAGTCAGTATACACGTACACTAGTTCAAGTTGCCATACCCCATCAGCACAGAGATGCAATTGTCAATTCAAATCTCATAGTAGTAGAGGTGTTAACAGCAACGGAAGTAATTGGAGAGATTAGGATTCGAAGATATTTTTCAAGAAGTATAATTCAGTGAAATTAATTTAAAAATAGAAAGATAGATGTGATGAGGAATTCAGAAGATTAGAATTTTAGAGAACACAAACAAGGAATGCACTCGCATCATTGCAAAAAATACTGAGCATTTTAATATTTATGATCTGGTTATAACTTTTTCTTCAGTTGTTTATTTTTATTTTACTTTATTTAAACAAATAAATATTGCATACAAATTGGGTTGTCTGCGTTTGGTCACTGCCCGGACGCTCACGGTGAAACATGTGATTTTCTTAGTGGGGCCAATCCTCGAGACTTTCACCTAAAAGTCTACCTTTTGAATTCCTCATCACCTCTATCTTTCTCTCTTTCTAAATTTACTTCACTGAATTAGACTTCTTGAATAACATCTGCAAAACCTAATCTCTCCGATTACTTCCGTTGCTTTTAATACCTCTACTACTATGGGATTTAAATTGGCAATTGCATCTCTGTGCGCTAATATGGTATGGTAACTTGAAGCTCTACATTGTAACTGACTGACTGACTGAGAAGGCAGTAGAACAACGTTAGGAGATGCAATCTCATGACACTAGTGAACAACTACAGGTTCGAATGCCATTTCCCTAAGGGATGGTGTCGTCCATATACACCATTGATTGGTTTAGAATTAAGATTTTCCAACTTCCCTAGATGAATCTTTTCTACTCACCAACTCAGTCCAGACGCTGTTCTCTCGACTTCGTACAGAAAATACTCTTATCATGCAAAGGCAGTTAGTAGGACTTCCCTGACAATAGCTAGATACGTATGGCTTTACGAAAGCATTTGAAGAATTAGAATAGTGAATTCTTCTCACTTTGGACCTTACTAGATCATTTGCAATCCAGTTATTCATAATTCCATTCAGTATTCAATTATAATATGCATCACAAACTTGATTAGATATTTCTGTTAAAGTTCAAGTCAATACTACAACACTTCACATATCACAATGTGATGAATTTCTAGTCGGATTTTTCCTGTTAGTCGAATAGTTTCGATTGATTTGATCTGTTCAATTATTATTATTATTATTTTGTAATGTCTTTTCTTTGGATTGTTCAGTTTTCAATTTTAATGAAGTCTTTTTGTCTCAAAGAATATATATATATATATATATATATATATCAATCATTGTTAGACCACCACTAGAAACCTGGAAGCACTAGACGGCCGTTTAGTCCTGGTATGAGACTCAGCAGCAGTGCGCATCCACGAATCCTGCTAATCGCAGGACTCGAACTCGGGACCTTCGGTATCGTGCGCGAACGCCTTACCATCGGACCACTGGACCGGCATCCAACGGTGTTAATGTCTAACTCTGATTGATCTAAGGATTTTGCGCAACCTCACCCATTTGTCTTTGGTAGATAATGCCTACACCGTACAGGGCTTAACTCCATTGGTCACGTCTTCTCAACTAGAACTCCGAGAATTTGCTCACGAAGCAAGTCACTAGTGAGCAGTGTTACGATATTTTGGGGCAGAGTTTTGGAGGTTTGCGTTTTTTTTACACATTTGAAATCATCAATCAATCATTGTTAGACCAGCACCATTAGAAACCTGGAAGCACTGGACGGACGTTTCGTCCTGGTATGGGACTATTCATCAGCAGATGTGTAAAAACGCAAACCTCCAAAACTGTGCCCCAATATACATATATATATATATATATATATGATAATTATTGTTGTTTTGTTGTTTAGTTCAATTCTAAAAACAGAAAAAATTGAAATCACGTTTTTGTTTTAAATTTATCGCTTTTCAAAAAAAAAACACGACAACAAAAAAAAATAGAATTTATTCAATATTCAACAATTCAATAAAAATAATACATACAAACAATACATTTATAATTTTCAATCGAGAAAAAAGCAACACATTTTATTCAATAAAATAAATTTTGTTACAACAAATAAATATTCAATTGGATTATTTATTGTATTTCATAATTGATAAAACCAATGTTAACCAATGAATGATAAGACTAAACAGATAGATACAACACGCAGAACTTCATACGTACATAAGTACATCAGTTCAGGTTGTCAGGCCACACATCAGCACAGAGAGACGCAACTGTCAATTCAAATCCAATAGTAGAAGAGTTAGTAAGGGTATTAGCAGTAATGGAGAAGATTAGGGAGCAAAGATATGATTCGAGAAGTATAATTCAGTAAGATAAATTTAGAAGGAGAAAGGTAGAATTTCATAGAACACAAAGAGTGGATGCACCTGTGCCATCGCAAACGATTCTGAGCCATGTCATTCAAGATCTCTAACCATTGGTGACTTTCGTCTCGCGGAGCCCAACCAGGTAGTCTACATCTACCAACATGACTCAGTCCACTTGTCAGTGACTTCATGGATTTCTGCCATGTTTTGGTTTGGCCGCCCCTAGCGTTCTTCCAATCTACTCCTACACCACAAAACAAAGCTCGTCGAGGCAGTCGGTGGTTAGCCATACGTCGTAACACATGTCCCAACCATCTCAACTGATGAAGTTTCATTACTTTATCTATTGATTTGCTGTCCCTACCTAGAACTCGTTTCCTAACGACAGCATTGCTCACTCGGTTGTCCCACGGTACACGAGCAATGCTTCGAAGACATCGATGATCGAATACTAGTAACCTACGGAAATCCTCTACTCTTAACGGCCAAGTCTCGCATCCGTACAGTAGGAAGGAGCGAACTTCTGCACAGTACATTCGTCCTTTAGTCAGCAAACGGATATCTCGCCTGCTCCATAGATGACGCAAGTTGGCAAAAGCCAATGGAGCCTTCTGTATCCGAGCTGAGATCTGAATGACTATTTCATAGGATTCAGTTCGGGCGGGTGGATGTTAACACTCAGATCTCGGATATTGCACATCATAACAGTCTAATTACAAATTATCAGTTTTGTTGCTTATTTCAGCAATCAATTAGCCTATAAAACAATTATGTAAGGAAACATTTTAAGAGTATAGATCATAGGATCGTCAGAATAATACGTAGTTTTAGCAATCGGATTACTTTTGCCTATTACACCTCATGGAGCATAGGCCGCCCACTAGCCTTCTCTAACACACTCTTTCCAGCTCTGTCCAATAGCTGTTCATTCTTCGCATCTCTATTTCTCGGCGTAATGTGTGCTTTGGTATTCCTCTTTTCCTTTGCATTCCAAGTGAGGGCTTACTTCGTGGTGCAGTTGGGTGGTGCTTTCTTCAGTGTGTGTCTTATCCAGCAATAGTATAAGGATTAGTTAATTAGGATGGACAAGAAGACTGTCAGGTTTTTGAGCAAACTTCAAAAATCAATAACGCTTAACTTGTACGAAATAATCAATATAAATACTAACATTACATATTCAGAATGTTTAAAAGGTTAACAAAAAATAATTACAAAGATTGAGAGTGTTAAAGGTATCCAATATTCTTCAAATCGACTAATAGTCGATTAAAACTTGTGACGATTGTTTTCACCTCATCGCTTATTCTACTTCTACCAAGATAATTCTTTATATTGCGGCGTTGTTGTGAAGATTGTTAAATTTTATTTGTAACAACCATGAATCGATCAATGTTAGACTACCATTAGAAACCTGGAAGCACTGAAAGACGGCCGTTTCGTCCTGGTATGATTACAAATAAAACTTAACAATCTTCACAACAACCCCGCAATGCAATTACATGTGACTAGCTTCGTGAGGAATCTTCTCCGAGTTCTAGTGGGAAGACGTGACCAGTGAAGTTCAAACCTGTTCGGATGTATACAGGGTATAAGGTTGCGCAACTCCGTGAATTGATGCAATTTAGACATTAACACCGTTAGATACCGGCTCATTGGTCTAACGGTTAGGGCGTTCGCGCACTAGACTGAAGGTCCTAGGTTCGAATCCTGCGGGGCGCAGGTGTCCTGGATGCGCACTGCTGATGAGTCCCATATACCAGGACGAAACGGCTGTCCAGTGCTTCCAGGTTTCTAATGGTGGTCTAACAATGATTGATTGATGATTACAAATTCTTTACATCGTTTTGACTTAAAGATGACAGCGTTCAATGTACCGTATGTTCAATATATAAAATCGTGGAGAAAAAACATTGTAATTGAACATCGAAATTTAAAATCATCTTATCGATCCAAAATTCAATAGTCAATTTTTAACATTTTGTTTTTCTCCTTCATCATCCAGGGGCAATTTTCATCTGAACTTGATCAGTGTATGATGATGATAATTATTATTATGATGTTTTTGATCAGCAGATCAACATAAGATCGTTGATCATTTAGTTTTTTTCTCTGAAATAGAGCCTTCTTTTTGATAACTAACTATTCATTGTCCAATATCAGTAAAACTATGTTAAATATATTCAAAATATTTGTTTGTTTATATGTGTGTGTATATACATATATATATACATAGAATCACATGATCGTTTTCATCTTGTAACACTTCAATGAATTGAGATGAAATTAGGAATAGAAACACACATTCAGAAAGTTCCTTTTTTTTTAACTTGAACAAAAATAGAGAAAATGTTGAGAATTCAATAATTAGTTTATTTTGAAAAACAATTCAATGTTTTTGAAAAAAGGAGTAGTAAATAACTCAATTGTTTGTTGAAC